CTGCTACTGCTAACTACTGCCACCTATGGGTCAGTCTCATAGTCCTTTAAACGACAACAGCCTTATCACTGATCCTTAATACGGTCTAAACCACGCTTTACATAGTAGACTAAATGGCGCAAATTACCATGCATCACAACTTCACCACATTCTCGATTCAGTTTATCAAAGAACCCTGAAATTAAGATAAAAGAATGAAAATCATCATGGATATCTCCATCTACTGCTTTAAAATCATTATATACCATTTTAAAGACTAACAAATCATTTTAGAAAAAAATAAAAAGAAGTAAATCTTTTGAGCTTTTGAACTTTCTTAATTTTTTTTAATTTTTCTTCTTTATATCATGGCACTCGGAGAGGCAGGTATGCAAACACAAACAAGAGGGTACACACAAAACACACACGTTCAATTTCTTACCTTTGTTTTCTATAGTTTGCATATTGGCTTGATCCCAGTATTCCTGTGCCTGCACGAGGAAAGTCGTGTAGTTAAGGTACTGCTGTGTGACGGAATGAATTCGCTGCGGAATACTCACAGTGGCAGGAGATGACATGGCGGCACTGGCACTGCCATTGGTCACCTTTACAGCACCAATTTCGTTATTGCAGCTGCCCTGTGATTTCACAAAAAACAGAAATATATATAATTTTTTTAAGTGATAAGAAGAATGTACTAGATAAAAAAAATTAAAGAGATTTCCATTCATTCATTCATTCAGAATCTCTTGATTTTACAGCCCGTCTCTTTAAATGACTGCTTCAATGGTATAATGGAACTCCGACAAGTGTAAATATGGCAGCGTAAAATAAAAAAAAAAAGAAATAATAATACATCTTTGTGTGGGTTTTTGCAGCAGAAGGCAGGGAAAAGGCACAACTGTGCTAAATGTCCTAATTTGTTTGATTCTGGGACACAAAATCTGATTACTGGCTCCTCTAATTGGATTATTTTCTAATTTTTGCACAACAGCATGAAAAACCAACATAAAATATTGACAGGAAAAAGAACCTCAACCAATACTTCTACCATATAAATAGTTTCTGCTTAAGCTCAGGTCACTTTGTAGAATATCATCAGTCAGACATTGTCTACAATATACTTTTTCTGGCCAATATCATAACCTTCTTTTAAACAAACTGTATCACTGATCTGGTTAGTCCACATGCATTATATACCATTACCTATATTCTGTTTCAGGTATGTGATGAGATTCAACTGCATTCAGAAAGCCCATCTTACAAGAAACTTACAGAACACTTTTTCTTGCCAATACAACTTTTTTCAACAAACTGTGTCACTGGTTGTTCCAATATGATAACTTTTTTAAAAACAAAGTGTGTCAATGATTATTCCACATACCTGGGATCCCACTGATCCAATGCTAGTGATGCTGGCTGGAGAAGGTGTGGGAGACATTGGAGATGGGGTCCCCGTGCTATGCTTATTCCAGGGCGACGGAGCCTGGGCGGCTGACTTGGGTGCCGATGCTGCTGACTGGAAGACAAAAATCGGAGACAACTGATTATCCAAGGCAGCTGACGAGGACAAGAAACTGTGTTCCTGTTTTAATAGTATAGTCAATGACTATTTTTAAGGTTCTGATTAGAAGGGAAATGTAGATTTCCAAAATACTCACTTTCACTTTGCCCTAATTTACACAGCTGCAGCCCTCACATTTTTGCAATATTGACACAAGCTGTTCCAAGCTAATCAGAGAGAACAGGGCTTATTGACTGGTATAAATGCATGAGGGTAATATGCATAAATGACATTACCAGAATACAGCTATTTGACAAGGGAAATGCTGACTTAATTCCATTATGAGGACTGATGCACTGTGGTCATCATGGCTGTTTTACCTTGTAGTGGTCATCAATGATGGACTTGAGTTTGAGGACTTCAGTCTTCTTGAACTTGTACAACTTGTAACTCAAGAGGGACTGGATACGAAGACTGTAGGGAAAAACATGACTGTTATCACATTTATCAACTTTATTATCTTGTCAAAGACTTTTGAGCTATTCTTTCAATAATAAATTATGCATGGAGGCTAAATATAATCTTGAAATTTATGTCATCTCATGTTATTTTATGTTATGTTATTTCAGAGAAGGCTTTTTGACAAAATGGGGTATATACACAGACATTCTCACCATAATACTGCAAGTTTCTTGTAAGATGGGCTTTCTGAATGCGGTCGAAACCTCATCACATACCTGAAACAGAATATAGACAATGGCATATAATGGACACATCAAATATTGAGAAAGTTGCACCACTCTCCAAAAGTCCAATGCATCTTTTGTCTGACTTATAAACAATAACAATAAAATTATGTTTGAAGATAAAGAAAAATCAAAAAGATTGGTTCAACTTCAAAACTTGAGATTATTTCAAAGTTTATATCTGTATACATGCAAACTGTAGTACCCATCTCAGTGTCCATAATATTTATTAAACAAGGACACCTGGCCTTACTCTTGGATTCTCTCTTGCAACATCAAAACTACAGAGATTCTTCAGAAATATCAGCAATCAAAGGAAGAAATACAACCGATTTCTTTGACTGGCAAATGTTGAACTTCAAATAAAATTCTACAATGAGCTGAAATCTATGTGAGACTTACTTGACTAGACCTAGGGTTTGCTTGTACATATTGAACACTGCATTTGGGTTGTTACTTGTGTGGTCAACTTCCATGGCAAACCCACACAGGACAAAGTTTAAAATAGCCTCCATGAAAGTGTTGGACTTGGCAAGCTTATCGCTCTGAAATGTGAATTAATTTGAAATGAGATTAAAAAAGCATTTCACTCTTTTGGTACTGGAAAACCTGACCATGTGGGTTGAAATTGAAACCCAATCATTGGTAATGAAAGAAAGGAGGACTAACATATTTTTTCTTTTTGCTGGTTCAGTTTAATTGTCATTTCCTTTTATTTTTTGTTTTCTGTTCCTAAAATCTTTTAAGAAAACAGCATCAAGTCCTTGTATCAAACAGAACTGATTCTAACTGAAGATTTATTTGTGTGTCAGATAAAAGTGTTTTCTTACATGCATACCCGCACAAGCATGTATAATTGCATGCGTGTGTAACACTTACCATATGATCAGCTAAATGCTTGAGCTTCTGAGCCTCTTGAAGATAAAAGCCATGGGATTGCCTGAAATGTCAAAACAATAACAGACATTAATCATTAATGCACAACTACCTTCAGCAAAAACCAGCAGTGGATCAATTTTTCTGTACACTGTCTAGTATGTTGCCATTCATGCACAGAATTTTGACAAATTGATATTTCATATCTCTGACTGATACACAAGGCTGGCAAATGTCACAGAAGCATATGTTGTTTACACAACCATGAAAGTTTATGAGCAAACAGATCCTTCTGATTATAAATCTCAACAAAGCTTTGTATGTCTGACTTGATTTGTGCTTATTTCTACATGTTTATTTAACTATCTGTCCACACACACACACATGTGCGCGCACACTCAGAATCAGTTTCATAGGACTCCTGTGTACTAATATATCTGAATATCTAATGACGTTTAATGGTAAGAAGCAGCAATAACTCACAACTCTCCCTCCTCCCAGCGAGGCACCGAGTGCTGCTCAGGGCGGTGGCGATGGCGGTCAGGGTAACGATCAGTGTTGTTACTGGAGGTTTCCCAGGCAACCTGCAGGAGGTACAAAAATACATGCACTAAATATATATGTCACTCGGCTCTCATAAAAACCTTGAAAAATTAACATCTGAACAAAGAAAATTCATTTCAAATCTGTTAAATACTCGTAAATGGTTTCACTCATTTAACTTCAGTGGTATTATGATTGGGAACAATTTTTAACAGCCTGCCCAAATTTTTCATTCATTAACCTCTGAGGATGGCAGACCTTTTCAACCACTGGAAAACAAGTGTTGATGAAACTGGGCCATTTTCTTTTTTTCTTTTTTTTTTTTTAACCCAATACCTGTTTCATTTTCCTTTCACAAACATTTTTGAGGTTCCCTCACCACTTACCCCATTCTTCTCTTTGTGTGCTCTGGCTCTCCTCTCACTGTGGATTGAACTGGCACGACTGGAGTTGCTGTCAATGCTGTGTGACCTGCGATGATGTTTTCTGTCCCAAGAACGGTCATCCTCATGGCTGGATTTTCTAAAGAATATGGAGTATTGTTTACAAAATTATGACCTCTAGTTTACATAATCATAGACTTCCCTGTCACAGGTATTGGGTAGAAAATAAAATCACAACGCAATAAACACTGATCAGCAATAATTATAACATTTACACTGCATGTATTTTTTAACACACATCATCACCATACATAAATGGGGACTTACAAAAAATTTTGATCAGACGTCTTTTCTTTTGAGCCTAATATTAATAAACAGACATCTTGACAAACACAACTCAAAGCATTTAATCAAAAATGATTTGTCAGTCTTCACATGTGATGCACTTTTCCAACTCATTAAACACATGTGGGCAATCTACTGTAAAAGCAATTTCAGATATAAACATAAAATGCCTGTATCCCTTTCCCCCTTTTTTTTTCAAGCCTGCATGATTCAAGAGCTGGTAGACAAACTTGCTTTAATCAGATGCAACAGTCAAATGACTGCCAGATGCCTCAGATGTTACAATTTACATAAAATACATCAAAAGAAAGATTTTCTCCAGAGCCAGCCAAAAAGAGGTCCAATTTCAAGCCAATAATTTATCATCACATATTAAAATCACACATTTAACATATTCCCTTTCAGTTTGTGACAAAGTGAAAAACCACAAAGCAAGAACAAATTTTTAGAGAGTTTTTACAGGTTAACAACTGTTTTAGACAAAAAACTATCATAGATAAATTCTGTGGCACCACATTTAACTATAGAATTGTGACAAAGGATATCATCTCTTTTTTGTACAGTGTAGCATACTTACTCCTTTTTCTCCACTCTCTCCCGCCCTGCATCTTCACCCATCTCTAAGCTCCGCTCTTGTCTGTGCCGTTTATGATCAAATTTGTCATCTGCCTCTCTCTTACGTTTGGGGATCTTAATAGAAGGTACGTTACTCCCCCCTATAATTTTGGATATAATATTAGCATCCTTAGTCCTTTTGTCCTTAATATCACTGTCTTTTTCAAATTCAGATTTTGTTTCATCTTCACTTTTTTCAATATCCATGTCATGGACCTCAGTGTCTGTTTCTGGTTGTTTCTCCTCAACTGGGTTATGAATCTCCCCATCCTCTGCACATCATTTGCCACATCAGTGGCTTGAATTCGTTCACTCTTAATCCCTGTACAAGACGTCTTTTCAGAAATCTCTGATAACTCTGGCACTACTTTTTGATCACTGGAATTCTCTTCAACTTTGACACTTACTGGCACATTAGGAACTATTTCACTCGGAGACTCTGTCCTGTTTGGAGATTTGTGAATGTTTTCGCCATTACCCCCTTTCAAGGGAGAAGACACTTTGCCACTAGAGGGCATTGCATACGTTTCTGTCCTATCACGCGAGGTCTCATCTTTGGTGGGTACTGTTAGTCTTTCAAGAGGAGACATAGGTGGCGCTGGTAACATTTCCATGCTGCCAAGAGGGGACTCTTTCCCTTCTGGTGACCCTTTTGATCCATTTGTCCTCTCATCTGGAAAAAGATTCATCATAATTTCCTGTTTTAATGGCATTGTTGACACAGATTTTTCTGTCACCGACTTCTCCTTTGCTCTTTTCTCTTTATTCTTTCTCTCACGATTTTTCTCCTTTTCTTGTCTTCGTTTCTCCTTTGCTCGCTCTTTATTCTCCTTCTCTTGTTTCATTTTCATTTCTGCCTTTTCCTTTTCTTTTTGCTTTGCTTCTTCTCTCTTTTTACGAAGTTGCTCCAACAAACTGAGATTTAACCTGACTAGAACGTGCGTTGCACTTTTGTCATCTGCTCTGCTGCCCTTGTTTGTTCCAGCAGGGTCCTTTGAGCATGGCAGTGGTGATAACAACATGGGGGGCAAGAGCGTTTTGGACTCGGGTATAACACAAGCTAAACCATTATCCCCATTCAGTTTTGTCACAACATCCTTGGTTTTCTTTTTGAATTCTCCATTCATTTTCTGTGGTGACAAATCACCCTCGATGTCTACAATCATATCTTCCTCAGACTCTGAACTGTCGTCTGTGTCCAATAATTCTTTGGATTTGATTTTCTTCCTGCTCTTTCTTTCCCCTTTTGAAGTCCCATTGTTACTAGACTTTGGTGTCTTTTCCTTTTGTGATTTAGAATCAGAGGTTTTGCTGCTTTCCTTGGTGGGGGCTCCATTCTTTTGTACATTCCCAGAATCCTTCACATCATCATCAATTCTCACGAGATCCACTGTCATACGACGAGCACCTTTCAATTTCTTGCCCGTTTTTCCTCCTTTGCTTTTTTCACTGGCATCCTCACTGTCTGTTGATTCAACTGGAGATTTCAACTCTGACTGGACAGACTTCCCTGTCACAGCTTGCTGATCTCCCGTTCTACCATGTTTGGGTTTATCAGAAGACACAGAGTCAAACTTCAGCTTCAGCTTAAGGGCCTCTTTGGATTTTTCATCGACTGTTGTGGCTGACGGAAAATGGATTTTGGACTTGTAGACAGGGGTCTCAGCAGGGAGCGGAGACAGCAGATCATTCTTCACAATGGGAGATAAGAAATCCATCTTAACATCCAAAGGTGAGGCAGGATCAGTTTTGATGACAATTTTTGGCGGTTCCATTTTGGACACGTTACCAGTCCTGTTGGGAGACGAAGACAATTGCACCCCATTTTGGCTGGGTGTATGTTTTGGAGACCCATGAACAATTTTTGCTGAAGCGGGCAAGATCTTTTCTTCCTTAACTGCATGTGAATCGGTTTCATCTTCACCCTCATCATCAAAGATGTCATCATTGAATTTCAGATCAGCTCTTTCAAATTCTTTGCTCCTTCGAGCCACCTAAAAATCAAAACATTTTGATAGTGAGCTACAGTATATGATACAAAGATTTTGGTATGTATTTGAATAAAGATAAAAAGCACAATACTGCACATATTATGAATATGTTATAATGAACAAAAGATTCAGAAACTATAACAGACCCAGGACTTAATGCCTTATTTGAAACAGCAATCATCAGCCAATAAATATAGAAAAAAGTTAATCTTATTTCAAAACTTCATTCTGAAATAGAACAATTTAACAAAGATGCTTTAGCCTTATACTTGTACATTGTAGCAAACAGTTATGTAACAAAAGGCTACGGAGTTCACACACACACACACATGCACACACACGCACACACATGCATACGAATACCTCACATAGACACAAACAAATGCACATGAACACCACATGCACGCACACACACGCGCACAGGCACACACACATACAGACATGCACACAAACACCACACAAAAATGCACACGAACACCACAAACACACACAACGTGCACACACATCCACAATGACACCAACATACACACATCCACTACTGAGCCAATTACCCTGTCCACCATCTGGTCCAGCTCCTCAAACAGAGCCTCATTGCTGCGGTCCATGTGCGCAGTCACCATCTCGCTGTCCACGGGGTCAAGGTCAGAGGTCAGCAGAGTGTCCGCGCCAATGTCCTTTTCTATACTATTGACATTATTGTCACGAAGGAATTCCAACTTCTCTTCCAGCGGATCGGCTGGCGCTTTCTCTGGCTTGTCTTTCTTGATAAAGTTGAGCAGACTCCAGCCCCCCTGTGCTTGCTGCTAGAAGGAGACAGATTTGAATTATGTTAATATCATATGAATATTATATGACTTATATCACTTTTAGGATGATCTTTATTGTGTTTGAAATTGAGACTCCTCTGCTATGAAAAAGGAATGAGACTTAAGTAAATGATTTGCTTTATTGAATATTATGTTCATAATCGCGTTGAAAAAAAAAACCATGGCCATCAGATGTTCAAGTTGATGAAAATGTGCTAAAATAATTCTGCTATGATGCATACATTTTGCAGATTCTGTGCTGAAACAAAAATTGAGGACATTTGATATAACCTTCTAAAACAGCAGACTGTCATAAAAAGTGCTGAACCCACTTTGGGCCTTCTCATCAATTTTTCAAAAGAACCTGGTCTTCCATATGTGTTATTTGGTGTACTTTGGATAAATGTCACCACAACCCTATAATATGCAATGATGAATCCCGCATGTATGTTAATAACTTGACTAAAATATTCCAGTTCTAGGGATTTTGTCATTTTTATTTATTTTTATTTTTTCATTTTATAATTATTATTTTTTTAAGGGGGAGGGGGGGGGGCAAATCAATCTACTGTCCAATATGGCATGATTTGGGAGATTTTGTCCAGGTGTCAATGTTTCGAATATTTCAATGGCCAGGGTAAATCACTAAACTTTGTTGAGAATGACATAATTGGTCTCAGTCAAGTTACTGATATACTGAACCCTCAACAACACCTGGTCCACATGGCCTTCCTGACTGATGTCTCGGCTTGACTAGTTTGACATTTCTGAAACATGCTGTCCCAAATCATATCAAAGAACCTTTGTGTTGTATTAGAAGAGACTTAAAAAAGACTTGAATTTTGAATTTCTTTGGGCTTCTGTGACACCTGGGTTTTAACCTAGTTTTGCAGTGTACGCTTGGTTAAAATGGAATTTAAACCACACATTAAATGTAGGTGTAAAATGTGCCCATTGTGGTTATGATTCACAACTCCATATATTTATATATATATAAAATGGTTCCTTGAATGCTGTTGACAAATATTTCAGGTGTGTGCGTGTGCATTTAATTTTAGCATTCAAAATGCTGGTCTATGATGAAGGCACCCATATAAGGATAGACACGATAGCCATTAACTGTCATATCCAACTCTCACTTTCCATTTCAACAATTTTTCATTTCTCAGAAGCCAAGCAGATTAAATACTGTGTATGTGACTGCATTTATTATGATATAATTTCACTTGAGTGCAATTGCAGTACTTATGGCATCAGGCTTAAAGAATGTTCTATCTGACACAACAAACACGGTTTCAAGCTAGTCTACAAACTTTAAATCCATGAACTAATTTTAATCAGTGCGGGTAAAAATATATTATCATTTCTTGAGGATCTCTGATTGTAAAATGTTATAACTTACTCAATATTTTCATACCTTATCATTATCATTATTTTCATTCTATCCGAAACATTTTGTCCTCGTGCTTACCTGAGCTGTAACAGTGTTTAGGTCAGAGAGACACAAAAATGACAGATAAAATGTACTTACAGGCAGAGGCACAGCAGGTGCTTCCTCCTCTTCCTCCTTGGCCTTATTGTTTTCTGGCCCTGGTTTGGGTACCTTCTCCTCCTCCCCATCACTACTTTCACTGCCAGACTCCTCAGAGCTGCTCTCAGAGTCACTGTCACTGGAGGAGTCGGAACGCACAAGATTTGCACTGCAAAATAATACAATAATTTCAAAGTATTAAAAGTGATGCTCACAACTAAAAATAGTGAAATGCTATTTTTTCCCATTATTTTTTCATCATCATCATCATCATAATAATAATTATTATTATCATTTTGAGAACTTTCTGCTATTACCAATATCTTTGATATACTTTTGAGTATGAAGTGATTATGTAATTTTATGGGGGGGGGGGGCACGGCTACAAAAGTACTTCCCCCTGTCTAACTGATGATGGAGTTATATATATGGACAGAAGTAGGTTCTTTCCCCTTTCCATGCTAAGACCACTGTTACTGTGTATAATATTACACATTTCTTTCAACCCACATTTGCCCCCATCATTTTCCTTGTCTAAAAAATTTAGTTTGATTCTCAAGGTTTAATAGCGTGGATTCCGAATCAACTCCTCCGCCCCCAATACAACACATGAGGTAGCAGCAACGATCCATATGTGTGGGCCTTAAGCTGTTTCACAGTCTATGCTCATTTTCTCTCCCTGTTAACTACGTTGGATATTGAATCTTCCATTTTTATCTTTATTTTGTTCTTTCAATATTACATAGATTGTGGATAAAACCTGTTTAGTGCACCAAATGCACTCTATGCCATTGCATGTCTTCACAATATACAACAACATACAAAGACACATCCAAACAGTATTTCTTGGGGCAGTAGTTACCCACTAATAACTACTCACATAATAAAGCCCATGCAGAATAATATTTTCTGATGCTGGGGTTTCTTTGCAATAAATCACAAAACTCATTCACTCAGTGTGACAAAAAAATGACAACTGGCTATTTTCACGCCATTTTATGTTCTAAGAAATTTCTGCAAAATTTATTTTAAAAAATAATACCGATTTCCTAAAATAACTTAAATTAGTGCAAATGTTTTGTTTGTTTTTTTCATTTCTTTCTTTTGCTTATTCTTGTGATAAAAAATATAAAGGAAACAAAATCACTATATAGTAAATAACACAGTTTTAACTCAAGCTCCAGTGATTTTCCTGCCCCAATAGTCTCCGCATGCTATCAGCCTGAAGCTACAGAACACATTAGCCTATTTCCCAAGAGCACCGGCACACACTCTGTTCCTGCGTAATGCTGTAATAATTGTCAGTTATTTTAATGGATTCCCCCATAAAGACAAAAAAATGTAACCTGCTCATAAAGAGACATTTGAAAACATTGCTATATATTATCAGTCAGACTTACAAGCATAGCACAGCCCAGTTAACCAGACACAAGACACATTAATGCATTGATTAGTCTAAACTTGCCTACAAAAACTACTAGAATTTCCATTGTGGTTAATAACAATGGCTATTATTTCTCCATTAAATATACTGGCGCTGAAAGAGCTGCAATTAATGAATGCACAAGTATTTTCATTTTGGTAATGAGCATCCATTCTGAAACTCTGTACTCTATGCTGTCGTTATTAACTTGCAACAGATCATGTCATTGCTTTTTAACCAACCATTACTCTTTCAATGGCACTGGTAAAATACCATGAATATCTGAATGAAATAATCTTACTTCCTAGTTTTGAACGTTTCTTTTTCTCCTTAAAAAAATCTATTTGTTTACCAAACTATTTGAAATAAAACAACATCTTTCTAGTAATTACCCTTCTAGGTTTGTATTTGGGAACTATAGTACTTCCCTGGCCTTATATTTTTCTATGTCATTTATTAAAATGCATTCAGTCTTATTTTTCAAGTAATGTTTTCCTCGTGTTGCCTCCATTATCTTAGACACTGTAATTGTTTGCAATTTTCCCACACAACTTTTACCACCACACCCTGCATGAGGACACATGCATCAATTTACTTTCATGCTGAGAAAAAAATTTACTGATAATCTTTTCAAAAACAAAACCACTTTAGAGGGATATTCTTTCAAGCTAGTATTTCCAATAACATGGTGCATGGCTTCATTGTTAACATATATCTCCACCTTTTTTCAATAACTTTCCCTAATTCTTCCTATGTGCAACTGTAAAAAGGCCAGTTTTATACAATGCAGCTTATGTATTAGGTCACACTTTAAAAAGTATCAGTATATATTTTAAAGCCATCAAGTCAACAACCACAATATTCCCCCCCGATTCCTTGCCTCACTTTTCCCCCTTCAATGGCAGGTGGGCATTCTCAAAAGATCTCCTTGGAAATTCTGAATTTTGGGAAAACTTTTTCAAAATCTTAAGTGACTTCTTACCTGTCTTTGTGGCCAACTGTGGCTGCCCGCACCTTGACCTTGACCTAAAAATGTAAAACATGACCTTAAAATGTAAAACAGTGACACATGCTAATATGCAATGATCAATTCATAGTTCACAATCAAAAATATTTATATTTAAAGCGTACTTTTTGGCTACAGACATCAGTGGCTCACATTTATCAGGGGTGGATTTAGGCCGTCTTCTGGGTCTTCTGGAAGACGGTCAGATTTTTAAGTTAACATTGACGGGTATCTAATTTTTTCTGTCAGAAGACGGTCAGAAATAGAGGATGGATCAACAAAGATAATTTGGAAGACTGTCAGAAAATATCTCTGGATCCGCCCCTGTTTATTTAAATTGTATTTTTTGTAATGCTCACATCAGGTTTAATTTTATGACTAGAAACTGGGGAAGTGATGTCAGAAGATATGACTGCACTCCTTACTCCTGAATAATTTCAATCAGTAAATTCCATATCAAGCAAATTGTCATCTTACAATATGAAATGGTGTTCTCATGAGTGACAACTCATCCTCAGTTCATGTGAAGAAGGCCTTTTTGTTTGCTAACTGTTTTCTTCCTTCACTACAGATGCATCTTCTAAACATTTAGTTACTTATCTCTATGCTTATGCCCACTGCCGCCCTGTTCTCCCCCCCCCCCCGCCCCCATCTTTTCAAAGGCTTAAGTCGCAATTCCCCTGGGGTTAAACCTTACCCCCACGTACCTGTTCATCACCCTCGTTATCCGATTCTGACAGCACCAGGTCATCCTCCACATTGCTGGAAATAAAAACCCAAGCCATTTATTTTCTAAAAAATAATCTCCCCTTCCGGCAATAACAGCATGGTAGATCAATAAAATTCATCAAACCTTATCTTATCAAAAACACTATTGCTAAGCAATGTTTTCATTCAAGTGCATCTGTACAGCTTCCAGTTGTTTCTTTCATGTTCGTGAAGTTCACATATTTTATATGACAAGGATAATTTTCCATTGTGTTTTGTTAATTTTTCTGTAATCAGTATAAGACCATATCTGATTTCTTATATTACGACAGCTCTGTCCTTCTCTTCTCAAATTCCCAGGAAAGCAAAGCATGGTCCCTCTGACTGTTACCATGATCTCAATTTTAGACTTCAATTGTTTTGAAAACAATATACGTCACGTAACAGTCATCAAAATATTGTCAATTTTTGAGGTCCCACCCTACCAACCGTAGGTGGTCATGGTTATATCACTGTGTGCAAGTTATTGCAAGTTACCAGACATCTATGTAAAGTGACATTTTTTGAGGATGTTCTTATGATTTTAATGCGTCAATACAACTTAAATATACTTTTTACAGATTTTTTGGTGTAAAATAAGGGGTAGAGAGAGAGAGAGAGAGAGAGAGAGAGAGAGAGAGAGAGAGAGAGAGAGAGAGAGAATAAACGCCAATATATACAACTATAGCCATAGTATAGCAAACACAATTAATCAAGGTGACAGGATAAGCCTACAAAATGAATCTAATCACATGATAATTATAAGCATGGTTATCCACTTCAAATGAGTGATAGACCAACCATAACTATTGGCATTACATCAAACTGCCATCACTATTAATTAAAACCAGGCGGGAAAGCCAAGAATAACACTCACATAACAAACCATTGTTGGCAAAGCCAAGTACGCTTTGTCTGTAGGGTTCAACTGAGGTGTTAAAAAACACACACATACATACCCTGGTGCCGTGCTAAGTCTCCGCCGCCGCTCTGTTGTTGATATGCTACCTTTACCTAAAAAAGAACAAGATGAACCTAAATATGTATAAATGATTGTAAAATTTCTTTAAAGCTACAGTCATCATGACAGCAGTGCCTTATTAATCTTTTTAAATGTGATATAGGCATGCTTAAGATACTCAGCCAGTAAAAAATGTGGTTAAGCAGACAACTGGACATGAAATCTACGCACGCACACACACACACACCTCTATGTTGAGTTATACTGTATAATTCTGAATATTCTAAAATACTCTCAAAAACCACACAATACACTAAGACAGAAATGTAAATATTAGCTCTCAAAAGATAAACTACTTCTCCAACAGTCAAATATACATATCACGTATCAAAACATTGCTCATTTACAATCTTTATCTGCAACTAACTATATATCTTTTTCTTTTTAGTGTAAGAACATGTGACCATAAAAGCATCTTCAACTTCCTCAAAACATGAGTACATAAGCCAACATTTATTGATTAAAAAAATTTACTATCAGATTACTCTCAAGTAGACTAAAGAATTTGTAAAAACCAATAACCCACCAGAGCCTTGCGCTTAACATATATGTCATTTTTACTGGAATCTGCCAGCATGACATACGTTTCTAATCTCTAAGTATTATCATGACTTAACCTGGCATCTTAATCGCTGTGATACCCACATACATATATCTAAACATGCCTGATGAAAAAACAATCTTTGTAGAAGAAATGGCAACCCTTCCAAGTCTACATCCATATCATTAATAAACTATGGCAACTGATTTGCTTCCAAAACAGATCAGTAATACCATATGCTAAGTATAAAAAAAAACTACCCTCATCATGGTAGTGAAAATAAAAGAAATCAAAAAGAACATCAAACCAGGGAAACTTGCCAACCTGCCAGGCATACACTCAGTCTAGGTTAATTCTGGGTGAAATTGTATCCAAAATAGGCAAGGGAGCACCGTTTTAATGCAGAGGTTTGTATGTTTTAAAGGTGTGACTTAATAATCTTCCTAGAAAAAATTGTATATTCCCATAACCCTGCTCTTGTGTGGCTGAAATAAGGGCATTTACACAACCAAAGGATGTAGATCTGTTATATTTAGTAAACTTCATGCAGTCTGAAAATACACCTTCATACACCTTCACAGATAAGACTACGTGGTAACATTTAGAAAGAAATGCCAACCTTCCCCGAGACATTGGTAAGCAAATAACCACATCAATTACTAGTGTTGACAGTAAACAAATATCATTTCTGTATAAACAATGCTTAATCTACCATTCTTTTTTTTTTCTTCACGGCAATCATCTCCTTAATTTTCTTATCTTAAAAAATATCTAGCATGTGCTTTTCCTGAACAGACTTTCAACTGGTTTACAGATAATTGCCACTTTAATTTATTCAGTACAATTTTAACCAACCACAACACTGTAAACAAACACAACACTGTAAACAAACAAATGAATTTCATCTCCATGGTCTTGGTTACTTCAATTATGTTAGGCCAGTTGAGCTTAGTCACACCATGGTACCAGGGGCCCCATTTCATAAAAAAAAGTCTTATATTCTTGGCTTAAGCTTTGAGAGCATTCACATCGAGAAGAGCCGAGGTCTAGCAAGGCCGAGACCTAAATATGGCGGACCTACATGAAAGGAAGGCCGCGAAATCCTTTAATAGTCTGTCATTGAATGTCACTGTAGGTCCGCCATATTTAGGTCTGGGCCTTGCTAGACCTTGGCTCTTCTCCATGTGAATGCTCTCTTTGACTGTTAAAAACAGCTTGTTGACTTTGCAAAAATTAATCTGGGAGCTTTTAATGTTTAAGCAGACTATAAATGTACATGACATACCTAAATGGGCCACTGTCACTCATGAGAGTGCAAATTTTTGTCAAGAAAACCTCAATTTTTTCCAAAAGGTATGATTTAAAGAAAAAAAAAAAAGAAAAAGGAAAACTGCTTTTGATTATTTGGGATACCTAGTCAATTGAGTCACAAGAGGCTACAATTTTTACCCCAACCTGACTTGAAATTAACTGTGAAGCAGGCACATAACAAGAATCAGTCACTGTTTACTATCTTTAACATAAAAACAATTACATTTTTGCCAGGAGTCTGGCTGGGTTAACAAGTATAAACACCGACTTGAAGCAAATTTAAAGGCAATCCAAGTTTTTGAAAAGCACCAGGTAGCGTGAAGGAGCACAATCATCTACTACAGGAAATTGCACAAGGTCAATGTTATATTTCATCATGTTAAAAAAAGAGAAGAAAGAAACGCTCCTTTGTATGCAATGTGTAAAGAACAAAAATCAACCACCTCCCATACTTAATTCACTGAAACTGTTTGTTTTGGCAGCAAAAGTACAGCACAGGTCAGCTCTGAAATTAAATGATTAGAACCAGAAGGGGAAATTACATGCCTACAGCAGTTCACACATTCCCAGGAACACAAGAGAACAAAAGGTGCATTGCCCTTCACACAATAATGAGAAATCAATGACTGGGAAACTTTCTTGTTTTCAATCTTTTTTTTCAGACATCCCCATCACTCCCTTGCCAGCCTATGTTATTAATACTCATCACTTCTTAGCATGGAGTCCATGCTTCTATTTCCTTCCAGATCAATAAGTGATCAGAGTGAGTGAAATCTCCTCACTTGTGGCATGATTCCCATCAAAGACATATTTCTACCTTATCAGAACACTGCTATAATCATTTTTTTGAAAAATCTTTGTAAAAATACCCCCCTCCCCAAATCACACTCAGAACTATGCCGTTTTACCATGTTTACCAACCTGTTCCTATTCACCCCCGATTCTCCAAGTTATCAACCCCATCTCAGTAAGGTAATAAAAATGCCCCTCCCCCACCCCCTCCTAATGGTTAATTGCCTTACCTGTAATGTAGTTCCAGTTGCCCCACATACTTGGTACAGAGCTCCATGCTAAGCTTACCATGACAGTCACAGCATATAGTAATGAATATGACCTGTGAACCAGTATAGTCAGTCTACTGCTAGGAGCATGTTAATATTTCATGTGCAGTTTTTCATTAACTCAGACAAATGTACTGAGGACTGACTGACGGGGAATATTTTGTGGTTTATAAATGTATGCGTGTGTATATGTATATATATATACATACACACAATTCCTCACTGTGTTGCTCTCAATCCCACAAAAACTGTAGTAGTACCTCTGTCAGCTGTAAGCCAATGGAATAACCTCTGTGATTTGTGGCTGCCTCCATGGAGACAACGCCACTAAGGTTACAGTCATAGGTCATCCTACAGTTCAAACAGTAAATGATCTGCATACTAAAAACAGTGCTGCCTGTAGTTAATTGTGACTAATGCCTGGGTTACCAAGAACTGTACTACTATATCTTGGAAGTCCTCTTCATACGGCCAGGTTCCTTATGCCAGACATTATTCAGCACACAGATGATGAAGTGAAGTCCCCATGGGTCCTTCATCAATACAACAGAGTACTACCAGCACAGCTGATGCATTTATATATGGCTGATAACATTATAGCCTATATATGTTGCATATGCTACCAGCCTCCATCACGGTTTTATACAGTGGGCATTGTCTATACCCAAAGGCTAATTTTTACGCCCGATTCTCTTGTTTTCTCCATTGTCACTGGTTTCTCGTATACATGAATTTCTCATCTTTTTCACGTCAGAATCAGCACAATGCTTTTTTTGGGGGGGGGTTCCATTTTGTTCTTTTTTATTTATAAAGCTTTCAATGATTGATTCCTTTTTTTTTCTCCCTTGCAATTATCAGGTACTTTTTTCAATCCAGATTGATGTGAAGACGCCATTTGCCATTCAAGGTTTCAAATCCTTAATTTCATTCCTTACCATCCAACAGTCATAACTGATAAAATCCAACATTAGTCCTAATATAGCACTCCCAGTAACACAGAAATATGACATCTGTCTCTATTCAAGTTCCCGTAAATCCATTGACCAGTAACCAACGTGCAATGACCTGCCAGTTACTTGACTAATCTGTTGGTAATAACATCCACTTATTTAATATCACATTCACAGAAGTTATGGGAACAGATACTGAATTTGTAAAATTATATCCATATGTTAAAATATGTCCACATGTTTTGGTATATACCCATATGTTCAGCATTGAGAAAAAGAAAACTCACGGCTCTCAGTAAATAACCATTTCACCATTGACAGTTAAACATCAGACAACTAAACATCAATGAGGCCATTCACTGCTTTGATATATCAAATGGTTATGATGAAAAAAAAAAAAAAAAACAGAACTCCCTCATTCAAGAAAAAATCTTCTCATCAGGAAACTAATAACACTTGTACGTTTTCCACTGCGTCTTGTAGTATTTCTAGCACAATCGCTGAAGATAATTAATGAAGTAGGCAGTCTCAGTCCTTCTTTGCTCGACTCTTTCCGAGTGCACAAAGAACTCGTCACAGTCTGAATGGTCACCGAGGAATCTATAGTCTTCTGCTATGTAAGCCGACTTGAGTAAGCCTAAGTCATCATTTCCACACGGTGATGGTGATAATTAATCAATAACTTTAACAGGCAAAACAGACATGTTGTCATAATTGTGAGGTCAAACACCTACATGTCGACGTATTTCCCCATTGTTGGTGAGTTAATGCTTCTTTATATATCAGTATATACACTCCTCCTCTATCAACCTGTCTCAGACAATTGAATGAATGAACTAGGACTCATGTACGTCACGACTCTAAAAGCAACTTCCACATGCACCAAAACTAGTTTTTCCTCGTCAGCAAAGCTGATATATAATAAGCACAATTGATTTTATTTTTATCTATGACAGTGAATTATTATTATTATTATCACAATCTTTTTTGACTCTATGTATTTTAGTTCTGGAACACATTTCTAGATCATTTTTGGTTTTCGGTGCATCACATACATATTTCCTACTCATACAAGCTATAACAGCCATTTGTTCTATTTCACTGTCCAATCTTTTAGCAAAATACGTAGT